TTTTTTTTTTTTTTTTTTTTTTTTTTTTTTTTTTTTTTACCTTTTCCCTGCTCCAAACACATGCACACACTTCAAGAACGGCATCATAAAAGCATAGCTTAAGTTTGTATGCAAATGGACCTATTCAAGGGAAATGTGCCATTATGTAACCTGCTGATGCCTGCAGTTTATTTTTTCCCTAGTTCCTCCTGCAGTCAGGTTGTGGTTCCCCCCCACGTCTCCCATAAGCACACACACAAACCCCCACACCCACATCTGTACCGAATTAACTGAGTGATTTTTTCACCCCTGGCAGAGCAGAGCGACAAAAACAGCGCCCTCATTAAACAGGAAATGTTGGCGTTGCAGGCGATGCTCAATACGTTAGACTACAAGAGAAAGGTTAGTGACATCCTTTGTCAGCTGTGGGTCATTTGCTTTCTCCCTTTATTCCCACACCGAATACTCAAATGCTACTTGTGCCTTCCTGAATTCTCTCCTCTTGGAAGAGCAGGCAAACAGCATGTGAGTTACCAATATACCAAAGGCTTTGTGTTTGTGTGGGTGATATTGGCGAGCAGCTAAGAAATCAGCAATTAAGCAGAAGCTTAATTAGGGCTATGATTCCGCTCACCTTAGACAAGAGGAGCACTTCTGCACTGCACTGCAAGGATAGCTTAGTTGGCAGTCTAGAGCTTTTACAGGAAATAAAAGTTATCCAAAGTAAATGTGATCTAGTAATTGCAAAACCAAACAAACAAATGCACAGATACTACCTAGCTTGGTTTAGCAAGAGAGACATGTGACTACAAGCACTTCTTGACCATTCCTTTACCAGTACAGAAAGCCATGTGTTCAGACACACGTACCTTCCACTGTTAAAAGCAAGTCAAATGTACAAACAAAAAAAATCCTGTGAATTGGACATGATGCAAAACAGAAGAAGGATTTTATGACCTTGACAGTGCTTCTAAATGTCAACTGCTTGGAGGTGTTATGCCCACTATGAATACAACCTCCCCTCCCAACCCCTAAAGAGAAATTTTACTGAGGAACTCATTGATACTCAGGATTAGCTTTACATGGTGAGTAATCCAGTCACCTCTGGGCTAAAGAGACAAAAGTGGTGGGACTAAATACAGATGTTTCCAAAATCATACAAAAAAAAAAAATGTAATCAGCACTTTGTGATAATGGCTGGATGTTGTAGCTGTGCCCTGTGGTCAGTCCATGACAGCTATCCCATGTTACAGGAAGTGCTAAGTAAAATAGGCCGTGTCATCCACGAAATTGATATGCTCATGAGCAACATGCTGACCGAGGAACTGCTGGACTGGAAGAGACGGCAGCAGATTGCATGCATCGGGGGTCCCCTCCACGGGGGGCTCGATCAGCTCCAGAACTGGTAAACCTGCACTGAGCTTATGTTTCCACTGAAAACCACAGGAAGTCTGCAAGCCCCATGCACACAAAATGATAATTCCTTTAGATCGGTTGCCTTGCTACCTTGCAACAGCAGAAAATTCATGAGCAGCTATGCAAGTAAATAACTAAAAATGCACTTTGCTTTGGTAGATCAAGTGATAGAACAGTAGAATTCGCTGGCAGAATGAATGACATTACAGTAAAGCGCTGAGCCTGAGCCATTGCAGTCGGTCAATTTTTGGTTTGATGGTAGTTGCAGATATATGATACACATACCCCAGGGAGTTTTGCTTGAGTAAGAGCTGTGCTGACTGAGGACAGTGGGAGTTTTGTCTCAGCAGGAGCTGGGTAGATCCTTTATGCTCTGACTCGCTGGGTACATCACTGCTCTAGGCTTAAAGCTACCCAGAATTGAATGACTGAAGTCTGCACCATGGTGGTAATAGAATCAGGCTTAATGGTACTTGTGGGGAAAAAAAGAAAAAGAAAAACAAAACCAACCAACAAATACCTTTAGATTAAAAAAAAATAATAATCATACCTCTAGAGAGCGTCAGTTTCTCTTCCATCTGACTAATATTTTGGAAAAGGTAGAGTAAATAGTAAGAAGAAAAAACAGAGGGAAAATAACTGAACACATACATAGTTTTTGAAATTTGAAGAAAAGAATTTTTTTTTTGTCTTGGTAGCATGTTCAATTCATATAACCATTATCCTTTCAAAGAGGGAAGGAAAAACTACCAAGCTGTAGGCAAGAAATAGAACTGGCAGCAGTGCCCTGTGTGTAAAACATCAGGATGGTGAAGCATTTCCTCTAAACTATCAAAGTCACTGTTGCACTGTTGTTGATGAGGCCTTTGGGGAGATATTTACCTTTGAAAGTAAAGTGGGAAATCTTGCATGATGTATTTATTCACAGCTGTAAACAAAAGATGAATGAGCATAATTGTGTATAAAGCTTGAAAGCACTATAAGGCACGGAATCCAATTTCCCTAAGCAAGAACTTCAGTAGATATTATGTTCTAATAATGGCTTACATGAGAGATTGCAAGGTAATTTGTTGTCTCTCTGTAGTTTTACGCTGTTGGCAGAGAGTCTTTTTCAAGTTAGAAGGCAACTGGAAAAACTGGATGAGCTGTTGACCAGACTGACATACGATGGGGATCCCATCCCAGTACAAAGACCTCAGCTGCTGGAAAAGGTCAATTTCCTGCTCTACAACCTCTTCCGCAAGTGAGTAAGCTATTGTGAATTCATGTTGCTTTACCTGAACTGACACACATTTATTGCTAACAACAAAACCTAACTGTTAAGAGTTTCCAAAGGAAGGAGTATGTACAGCTGTCATCAAAACTCAGAGAAGCTGAAGGTACCAGAGAGCTTCTCACGTACAGCATTTAAGGTTTTGTGGTCAACTTCTTACTCTATGTGAACACCAAAACCCACTTATTTCAATCACGTACGTACCGCTGAGAATTTTGTGTAGTGAAGCAGCAGATCCTTCTCTTTTCTGTTCCCCACCAAAGTAGACTTCCCTCCCACATTCATCCATCTATTCATATAGAACATTTTCATAATTTGTCTTCTCTTTTGTACCGGCTATACAAGGAGACAGACCACAAGTGGCTATTCTATTAGCTGTGTCTGCAAGCAAAACATGGTTTATTGCTTTTTAATAAAATAAGGGAAAAAACCAATGATTTAATTTCACTGGAACCAGGTTCAGTGGACTTGTATAGCTTGATTTATGGTTCTGATAAAAGGCTAGATCATTCAATTGATATTTTAGTCCTACAAAATTTGATTTTGGTTTGATTTTAAAGGTATAACAGGTATCTGTTTCTTACGGGAACAATTCAAGTGTAAGTCAGACCCCGAGATCATTTAGAGAACTGAGAGTGAAAATGCTTATCTCCCATTTTAGCATCTGCAGAGAAGTCAGTCTCAAAGAAATAGATAATATAGCTTACTATACATTTATTTATGCATATTCCTATCAATCTACTTGTTTCATTTCTTTTCACCCTAGTTCATTTGTGGTTGAAAGGCAGCCCTGTATGCCAACACACCCCCAGAGGCCAATGGTTCTTAAAACGTTAATACAGTTCACTGTAAAATTAAGGTAAGAAAAGGAAGCCTGATATCAATTGCTCCCTTCACATGCTGCACTTTACTCTAGGAGACCATTTCAGGATCCATGAAGTATTACAACTTCTGTGTGAGAGTCAGGCAGAGACACTTTCGACTCCAGGGAGCTTTGTGAAGCAAGGGTCTAAAGGACACCGAACCTGTCGCTTGTAATAAGTGGCAATGAAGAGCAAACAGCAGAAGGAAGACAGGCAGACTGTGGCCAAAAGTCAGCACCTTCAGGAATCTATATTTATTGGATTCTTGGTTTAATGGCTTTGCAAGCTAACAAGTAATGATCCACATCATGCCAGGCAACATCAGAATACTCAGAGCCACTGTAGCGCATTAGAAAGAGAAATATCTGCAGCTTACGAGGTGTGTGATTGGTGTATCAATGACAAGTTATTTCTCTCCCGCTACCTCCTTGCTTGACTCTGCAAAATGAGGTGAGATCGGAGAGGATCTCACATCTCATTTCCATCCAGCAGCAAAAAGAAGGCATAGAAGGTGGGGGAGCAGGTGTGGAAAGCATACACAAAGCACAGTGCAGTTAGACATACAAATCCATCTCTGATCTTTTCATTGTCTTCCCCACTCCTGCAGGGAAGATAAAACACTCGCCTCTGGATAAAGTCATCCGTCCTTTCATGCATAGGACCCTGCAAGTCCTGATGCAGTGCTGGATGATTAATCCATTTTCAGATTACAATCATTTCAAATACTGTGATGTGGAGCTAGTGATCTCTATTATTTTCTGGTGACAAATTTGTTTGCTATAGCTTGTTTTTGGGTTGGTTTTTTTTTTTGAGTGTTCACTTATAAATTTTCTGTTTTGAAGGTTGCTAATTAAATTGCCAGAGCTGAACTACCAGATCAGAGTGAAAGCAACTATCGACAAGTAAGAAACTTTAAAGTGAAGATATTAGACCACTCTTTTCCTACAGAGACCATGCAGCTTTTTCAGTAGCTGCCCTATCTGCTTTCGAATTTGCTTAAAGGGGGAAAGAAACCAATGAACAGTTGAAACATATGAGTTTCACACAGGGTAATGAGGGTAATGACTCTCTCTAATGTGGAAAATCTCTTTGTACTTGAAAAGAAAGCTACTCTTAACTTTGAAATTGGAGACGAAACATCCATTTAGCATTTGTTTCAAACCTTAAATAAAATCCAGCTTTAAATAGTGGCATCACAGAAAACTTGAAATCAAACTCTGTAGCATTTATGGGGTAGTCATTCCCTCTGCCTGTACCAATAGTCCCAGCACCTTCAATGCAGCTGCTCCCAGCATTGCACACAATTTGTGCTTGGAAAGCTGGTGCTGTAATTACTAACTACAGCAGCTTACAGTGTTTTACTCCTGCCTGACATCAAGGCTGTTGCATAAGCTCCTCCTTACTAACAGATTCAGTACTCCATTAGCTCCCATTACTTCTTATAGCAACGATGAACCACAGCTCCTACTGCTGGTTATAATTTCTTGAGCAAAAGGCATTTCAGAGCCTGCCTATAATATACTAGATGCAGAGCCAACACTTTTGTACAACTACATCTGTTTGAGTTGATTAGTTTTCTTAGCAAGATCATGATTTTCAGTACAACGTAAAGAGCTGACCCCAGAGCAAGCTTGGTTACCATTAGGTGAGGGCCCCCTACTATGAAAAACCACCAGGTCTGATTCCAAAATCAGCACAGCTGATCCAACTCCCCACTGCTCACCATTCTCCCTTGCTCTGACCACGATGCTTCTATTAGCTCCCTACAAGCCACTCTGCTCCTGGCTGCATGGGCACAGGTGCTGGGCCAAAAGAAGGAAGACCAACACCTGGTGGATAAGCAGTAGGAGACAAGACAGCTTCCTCTCAGAAGCTGTTTATGTGCACCACCAGTGTGCCAAGACCTATCTACACAGGCCTCTATTGCCTCACCACACACCCAATTAGCACAGCAACTTTCAATTTCCATACATCATTCCAACAGCAGAGGGAGAAGAAGTTAGATACAATACCTGCACATCAGAAATTTCTGTTATTTTTCCCCAAAATTGCAGTGATATCAGTAACATACATTCAACAGATAAGGGAAAATATACTGTCTAGAGATACATGACTCAAAGCAAGCACAGCTCATGTTTACTGATACATCATCTGTTTCCTCCTCCACCCTTCTTCTATTTTAGGAATGTTTCAACAGTGAGGTAAGGAAACAAAATATGAGAGTCCTCCAGCTATCCAGCATGTTTTCACTGGAGTGATTAAGTGTAATGTTCTCCATAGCAATCGTAGATTTGTTCTGTGTGGAACACACGTGAAAGCCATGAACATGGATGAGTCGGCAAATGGCAGCCTGTCAGTAGAATTCCGACACCTGGTAAGCTTGTCTGCTCTTTTCTTGCCATGCACCTCTGGCAAGGAATTAAGATACTCTTTAAAAGCTACACAAGGAGAACTGCACTGCTGTCAAATCTACACTCGTTCTCTTCTCCCTTAGAGGAGCATTTACTGCTGCAACACCTGTATCACACTCCATACTGCCATAAAGTGAGACTGTATTTCCACAGACATTACAAAACAAACCATGCTTAATACCAGAAGAGGAAATGATTAATCATGCTGAATTACACAGAAACTTTTTTTTAAAAAAAAGCCTATGTCCAGGTGAAATACATAATTGAACGCTTTGGATCTGATTGAAACAATGACTGAGACAAAAGGCTTTTTGAGAGCCAGCAGAAGCGTTCTGGTAGCACCTCCAGTGTCTTCCTAAGTCCTGCTTTCAAAGCAGACTCCCTCACCTACAGTACTTTTCCAATAAAAATATTTATCAGAAGGCCACTCACTGAATGGACTTCAAGGCACAGAGTCAGTGCCTTCATTGTAGTGTATCTGTAAATTCAAAACAAATCCCTATTACGCTAAGGGCACCACAGCTACAGTTGATATTCTTTATGTACTCATCTGTAGTTTCTCTGCCACATAATTTCTGTTTTGCTTTATACAGCAGCCGAAAGAAATGAAATCAAGTGCTGGAAGCAAAGGAAATGAGGTTGGTGGATTTATTTTAGTTGGTAGTTTTGATTACTCTCCCAAGTATTTCAGGCTGGATTTCATTTAAATCCAACAGCAACCATATGTAAGTAAATTAGATTTTGAAATATATACTCTCTTTCTAAGTGTCGGACTCAATAATCATGTGATTGCATGAGCACAGTGAGAACCTTTCAGAAGTACTCAGAAAACTCAATTACGTGCCTCACGTAATAGCTACAGAAGATGGTAGGAAGTAATCACCTGAATGCCTGCATGCATTGCCCTGCATGGCCTTCCCTTTGGTCAAAAAGTTACCTTCTGAAAAAACAAGCTTTTTGAGCAGAGCAAGCTGACCTGTGTGATCTGTTGGCCACGCTCACAGCTGACACGACGGTTTGATTGTACTTGCCTAAAAGATGTTAGCATGCCCAAACCACGACCAAACTCCCTGACTGATTTTCGTCTGAATCCTGGTCTGGTGTCCCCCTCCTGCGGTGACACAGCAGTATGACACGTCAGATCGAGCAACAGCCACCCGCAGCATTAGGACGTCCTAGCATTAGTGACGTGGCTCACTGCTATCTGATTTTCACCAGCGGGGCTCCTCCTTGGTGAAAGCACCGCCTGGAACCTTTAGGAGCATAAACATTTGTTGAACAACAGCTAAAAGCATATATTTGTTTAGGCTTAGGTGTGTTTTTGCAAAAATCTCAGGTTTTTGAAACTTCTAATCGGGCAAAGATAAGGGAAGTTTCCCAAACATTTTCAGCTTGATTCTACCTGTGCTAAAACAGTTGAGCTGAGTGGATGGATGAGCATTTCACTCAAAAGCAGACAGCTCTAAGCTGGATCTTCCCTCTGTAAGGCAGCTGTGTGATTCAGATGCCTGAGCATCTCCTGCAGCCTCAGCCTCCAGTGTACACAGAACCTTTTGTTACAGCATCTGTACACATCCTGAAGGAGGTGTCCTGAAGGAGGTGCTCTGGGGGAAACAGAAGGCCGTGAGGCACTTTCCCAAGGAACACTTCCATTTACGTTGACTCAAAGTGGAAGTACTTCGATTCAGAAATACAAATCTTCCCTTCCCTCCTTTTTTTTTTTTTTTTTTTAATTTATTTTATTTTATTTTATTTTTTAAGAAGTCTGGCAAAACAAATATGCAATGGGAAGGAAAAACAAAAAAGCAGGAAAAAAATGGCAAAAAGCTTTTTATATTTTGACTCGCAGGGATGGAAGTATCTATTTTTAAAGACGTTTCTCAAGGGGCAGAGATTTTACAGAGCTGTTTATAGAGCTATGCTAGTTTGTAATCCAAGCAAAATGTTGTAACACAAGCTAATCAACTACGACAGATTGTTTGTCAAGAAGTTTCTGCGTATACTTGAAAGAAAACAAAACTGTTCTCTAGGACAGAAGCCTACTTGTGCTTAAGGACACGGCTCCTGTAACTGCTTTTTTTGAGCTGCTCGTCTCCTATTTAACATCCGTGTTTAGATTGGGGCTGTCAATCAGTAAAGAAACTTTTAGCAAGAGTGGGAGACAATAGCAGACACACAAAAATCTGTTACATTTGCGTGCAACACCATGCTGTAAAGCAACATTTTTACACAAGTTGAAAGTAAAGAAAGCATTGCTTTTAAAACCAGGGTTGCTGGTTTTGTTTCGGTTTAAGAATCATCAGAAAAAAATCCACCAGAGATCTGGATTAGTTTAGAGTTTAACAAAGGGTTTCCTTCTTTTTCTCTTCTGCTTAGAGATTACACAATGCTGCAAGAAAACACACATCTAATCTCAGCAGCTGGATTGCCCAGGCAGTGTTAAATACCAAGCATACACTCAGTTCATTATCTGCTTTTCCCCCTCAGGGCCCTCATATGGTGACTGAAGAGCTGCACTCCATCAGCTTTGAAACACAGGTCTGCCTGTATGGACTGACTATCAATTTGGAAGTGAGTATATTCTGGATAGATTTTCTGTGGTGAGAACAAGCAGCATTTTCCAGGGGCTCACAAGGAACAAGCCTGTTGGGCCAGGCCGCAGGCCCATCTAGGCCCATCTATCCTAGATGCTGTCTTCAGCAGTAAGCAGTTGCCAGATTTCCAGAACTGCTCAGAGGGCTGCACAGATTTCATGTGATGTTCTTAACCCTTCTATGCAGAAGCCAAAATACAGGCTGATCTAAAGACCATACACTCATTTAAGCCAGTGACCAAAAAAAAAAAAATTAAAAAAAAATAAATAAATCATGTGCACTAGAAGGCATGTTCCTCCATTAAACATCACAAATTAACACATTAGAGAATGTTACGACAATTGCAGGCAATATGCTCAGGACATCCCCGCGCACCTAAAACAGACCATTCTTACAACCAATTCAGTGACCAAAACTACCAGGCCTCACTCTTCTGCCTGCAAAAAGTCATGCAGTCATTTTTCTTTACAGCTTTCACGCAGCTAAAAGCCAAATTTGCTGCCCAGGCCAAGCTAACTCAAAACCTGAACACCCTCCCAAAGCCCATTTCTCTCTAGAAACAGGCTGGGCAGCAGTTATCAACAGTTGGTCTTGCTCTACCATGCTGGAAGAGCCCAGGCTATAGAGCACTATTTGGAGGGAGCAAAAGACCAAGGAAGGGCTAAAAGACAAGTAATACTGCACTGTCATTACCTACTGTGCTCATTTTTTCCCCTAGACGAGCTCTTTGCCTGTAGTGATGATTTCCAATGTCAGCCAGTTACCCAATGCATGGGCTTCTATTATTTGGTACAACCTATCAACCAACGACCCTCAGGTAGGTCTTCAGTACACAAATAGCGGCTTCCTGCATTCTCACACTCCTATTATTTGGTTGCCAAGTACATTCGTTATAAAAAGGCTGCTTCTCCCTCTTACACAGACCTTATTTTCTTCAAATACGCAGTAATCAACATCATACTTCTATGTTATTTGTTCTGTCTTTTGTTCCCTACCCAAATGTACAACCGTATGCCTCTTAGCTTTCATTTTTTTTAGACTGAAGTTGTAGCTCACAAACTAAGGAAGGATGATTGCCCTTCTTCGCAACTTTCCCAGGTCAAATTTGTCTTTCTGGAACATGGTTGATTAAAATCATACACAGCACAAAATAATTTCACAGGTGCAATTCAAAACTATTGAAGTAGATATATGGTTGGGGCTATAATGTAATTAAATGCTATTTCCCCTCATTTTAGAGGAGCTAATGCTTTGCACAGAGAAGACTGCAAGAGACAGGTAGCACTGTCTAGTAGCTTCAATGCTGAGCAAAAGCACAATCATTATTTCCTCGTCTCCTGCTGGCACAGCACAAATTTCGCCTTCAATTGCTGTTACTGCACTTGCAAGTTGCAGAACACAGTATCTGCATTTATTGGACAGGCATTAAGCATATTTTCACTGCTTTAACATACACCACTATCAGAAGTGTAGCAAGGTATTTTATCATCCAAGATGTACACAGCCTCCTACTCTCTCCAGGAGCATCCCTCTATAGGTTTGCTAGTAACCAGGGAGGAACCAAGGCATCTTTGTCCAAGTCCATTCCGCTCCCCATTCCACCATACCCCTTGCATTATTTTTTTGTTTGTAAACACCTCTGGCCTCTGCTTAAGCACTTGCTGCTTTCTTTTATAGCCTGGAGTACTTCCCATAGTTGCTAATAGTCTAAACAAAGCATTCGTTCTGTTGCAGAACTTATCTTTCTTTAACAACCCCCCTGCCGCCACTCTAAGTCAGCTCTTAGAAGTACTGAGCTGGCAGTTTTCATCCTATGTTGGCCGTGGACTCAATTCCGAGCAACTCAACATGCTGGCAGAGAAACTTATGGGTAAGTCTGTAGAAACATACGGATTTTATTTGTTTTGGGGCTCTTTTATTTGATAGTCCAAAGTGATGGCTTTAAGCATGACCTTCACTTCCACCCTTGACTTCAAAAATACCATTGTGACATTGTTTTTCTTTAAAGAAAAGCACACGTCAGCTTATTCTTACCACGAAGTGATTCAGCTTCTGAATATCTAGGCTGCTAAACTGAAGAAAGAGGGCATCAGAGTCACGTTCAACACTGTTTTGTTTCCTTAGCAAGTAGTTGTTATCTCCAGCATCAGCTATCAAAAGGAAGTCTTTTTGCTTGCTTATGGGATTTTGGCCTTTTTGGTGACAGCATTGTGTTGGTTTTTTTGTTTTTTGTTTTTTTTTTCTTTTAAAGTATCTGTTCTCTGGGGCACGTTTAGTCCTGGGATCCATCTTTTACTCACAGCGACATAGAAATGAAGCCCCGCATGGTTAGAAGTTGGTGAGACAAGCAAAAAAATGCTTCAGTCCGACTGTCCTTGTAGTAAAGGGTGTCTTTTCTAATGGTTTCTTATTAGAGAATGGAGTAGAAAACATCCCTGTTATTCAGTTACAACTGTAATATGAGAAAAAGAAAGAAAGCATCTGAAAACTTGGAAGCTCAAGATAGGGTGAGAGAAATAACACTTAGACTGAAACCAAAACTGAGCTCAGTGTTGCACCAACGAGGCCCCAGGCAACTTCAGGCAGATATTCCCCAGGCTACCATCAGCAGCTGCTTCAGAAAGATACACAAAACTCATCTGCCAGCTGCATTCTTTCTCCACGCACACAGGCCTTAGCAAGCCCCTCTCAATGCCTCTCCAAGCCCGAATGGGCTACACTATTTTTCAGCTGTACAGATGTGAACTAACATTTCCTTCACAACTTCAGAAACCCAGACTCACATTTTTCTATTTTACTTTTAGGGCAACAGGTCAGTTACAGTGACTACCAGCTCTCCTGGGCAAAGTTCTGCAAGGTACGGTTCTGAAAGTAACCCACTGATGTCAGTGAAGAGACTCTCAATTGCCTTGTGTGGCTCTTGTAGCCCAGCACAACCAAATGAAGTCTAAAAGCTTCACAATGAAAACAGTATTTCCTGAAGTTTAAAGCTTGGGCTAAGAGATCCATTTAACTACATTTATACAGGTACCAGAAACAGTTATTATAGTCAAGTATGCCCTGTATGTTTCTGTAAATCATACAATCACGTTTGCCAAAGGCATTTAAAGTCATCAGGTGCTACCGAATAATCAATATAGATCGTGCTATCAGTGCACAGAATGTTCTTCCTAAAGCATACAGTATGTTTTCCCTACATGCTCAGTTGTGACTTAAATTATTTCAAGTCTGTCTCCACATTCGGTAACTTTGATCAGAAATTACAACACTGAAAAAAAGAAGAGCAAATGCTTTTTGTTCACACTATATTAAAACACATCACTGAAAGTAGTTCCAACTCTCAAAGTATAATTTCATAATGAGAGAAACTTCGAATATGAATTTTTCTTTAAAAAAGGGAGTTGCAATGCCTATCTTTAAAAAAATTCATAGTATTCACATTAGGCTTAAAGCAGATATATTACTGAAAGCAGCAATTCTAATTTGTCATTTCAACAGATGCTAGATTACTCTTCAGGAATTGAAACAGCTATGTCACGTGGATGCGGTGTAACAATATTCTCATAATGTTCTTCTTCTGCATGCGTTTCCCATTAGGAACATTTACCTGGCAAGTCTTTTACCTTTTGGATTTGGCTTGAAGCTATACTGGACTTAATTAAAAAACACATTCTTCCTCTTTGGATTGATGGGTGAGCAAGAAATAACAACAGCCATGTGTTGACCTCTCCCTGCTTTACCCTTTTTCTTCACTAGCTGAACAGAAGAGAACTTGCAAAGAGTTGAACACTTCTGCCTCTTTCTCCCCATTTATGATGTTTCAAACTCTTTGCAAAAAGGCAACACCTCTGAATCTATTAGAAATGCAGAACTAAGTCCCTATTTTTTGCAAAAGTTAAACCATTATTTCCTATTACACTTCAGGTACGTAATGGGATTTGTAAGCAAAGAGAAGGAACGAATTTTGCTCAAAGACAAGACACCAGGAACATTTTTATTAAGGTTTAGTGAAAGCAATCTGGGTGGAATTACCTTTACTTGGGTGGATCAGTTAGAAAATGGTAAGTGCAATTAAAAAAAAATAATAACAGAGCTCAAACCCTTTGGTATAATTGTAACCACAGTTCGTTGAGTTTTTGTTGTTGTTGTTTAGAAGTGAAGTTCATGTGTATAGTGTTAGTTTGGTTTGGGGAGAGGAACACAGACAAAGCTTTGCAAATCTTCCTCTCAGTGATTTCTATTACCATAAATAGGTTCATTAGGGGATGTACCTACTTACTGCAGGCTTTACGTTTGTTCCCACGTGTGGAGGAAGAATGCCTTGAAAGATGTTGGTACAAAAGGCAAAACCCATACCAGTGCAAACTTAGAAGGAAAACAAAAAGCGTTCCAAGTAGAGATGTTGGTCTAGCAGCTATCAGCAGCTCCGTGCCCTTGTGTTCCTACAGGAGAAGTGACATTCCATTCAGTGGAACCCTACAACAAAGGCCGCTTAGCTGCGCTGCCCTTTGCTGACATACTGCGAGATTACAAAGTTATCATGGCAGACAACGTTCCTGAAAACCCTCTGAAGTATCTGTACCCAGACATTCCCAAGGACAAGGCCTTTGGCAAACACTACAGCTGTCAGCCGAATGAAGGTTGGGCTCCCTTTCTGTACTTAACCCTTCTGGAAAGCAGCTTCAAGGCCAAGAGGCAACTCAAGGAATCTGGGGAGAGGAAGAAGGGAACAGATCACGATGCCTCCTTTAATCGGCATCTTCATGAGAAATGTTTGATGTGTGTCTGTCATGCAGGCAGTTTCATTTTACAAATAGAGCCACGGTCTTAGAGGTTACATTAGAGGCTACAACAACACTGTTTAAAAGAAGCTAAGAAGTAGATCTTGAGTTAGAAGGAGTCAAAGTAATTGGATTTTTTTTCCTGACCAATACATTGCAAAATTCAGTATTCAGACGTTCAAAGGAGATGGAAAGCCATCCTGCTCTTCAACTTCCTAATTGGATAAAACTGTAACAAGCTGTATCTTTAATTTCAAAGAATTCTGACTTTTCTGAAGAGCTTGGAAGGCCTGCTTTCATTTCACAATGAGGCAGCAGTTGCCCCTGGTAACTACACTGGAAAGTACAGCTAGATAAATTAGCTCAAAAGGCTAGATAAGATTAGTTCCAAACATGCTCGCTCTTCTCTGGGTTTCAAGTCAAACCATTTTTAGATCAAGCTTGCATCCCATCAAAAAGAAAAAAAAAACAAAACCCTGATTTTTCTAGATAAGCTCAGAATGATGTGTATGTCTTTATAAAAGACTACAAGGCATTTGGATTCAAATCCCTACATTTCTCAAAGATGCTTTCAGGCAGCAAATGCTTTTCTTCTCTGTTTAAATTCAGTGGACTTGGCCTAATGCTCAAGCCCTCTAAAAAAAATTATGCACCTATTTAATTTCAAGCAAAAGACAAATCTGAAGCTGTGATACAGACAGGGCTCCATGCAAGCATTTGCAGTACCGAAAAGTACTCAGTACAAAGCATTTGGACTTCCAGCACAGTCCTCTCTCTTCAAAACCTTAACAAGATCTCTTCTATCAGCTGTTACGCTGTACATCAAGATAGTGATGTAGGTATTTCCAGTGGGGAAGCACGGTCATTTCTGTGACTAGGACCTGAACCTGGACATTAACCTCAGGAATTCCCTCATTTTATGGCTGCTTATTTAATCATGGATATTTCTCATATTATGGCCTGCAGCATAATCAATTTCAAACCAACAGTAAAATTAATGGGCAGTATTTAATTTCTCTACTATTGGCTTTTTAGTCTCAAAACCCTCAGACGGAGGAGTCAAAGGTTACGTTCCTTCTGTATTTATCCCAGTCTCCAAAATGTGAGTAACCATAGAGACGTATTACTCTGATTTTCATTACATTTACATACCTTTTCTAACTTATCCCTGCCTCTCCTCCCCCATTCAGATAGTTTGGGGCAGCAACGCATCTGAGTTTTGGTTTGGGCAAAGACTGCTAAAAACAAAAAAAAAGGGAAGCAAAGAACTTGACTGAAGTGCTTCTCCCATGCACGTGGCAAAACATTTGTCAGAACTGAATGCAAACTTTATGGTACTTTGGTCATCTTACACTGTTCCCTTTTTCAGCAGCTGATATTACAGAGTCAGGCTTAACCTCTGTCTTCCTTTAGACCTATTCCCTGCATTTTTAAACACCTAGCCATTGGCATATGCTCACAGGGCCACCAGCAAGCCCGAATATAAGCTTAACTAACTTAATTAAGCATTCAACATGAGTCAATTCACTATAGCCCACAATCCTCCATGAAGTTGGAGGGATTTAGGTTACTTTTAATATCATTTTCTTCTTTTTTTTTTAAAGCTTAAATGACTCTACAGATCCACATTCTCCATCAGATCTTCTTCCAATGTCTCCAAGTGTTTATGCTGTGCTGAGAGAACATCTGAGTCCCACAGCCATCGAAACTGCCGTACGTTGTAAACTTTTCCACTGATAAGTTAACACTTAGCAAACAGCACATGCAACACAGATGCTGGTTACAGAAAGGCCACTCATACCATTACCAAAATCCCAGCTCATCCATCACTTGCACTATTGCATTCTGAACCAGTGGTACAAATATTTCCTACTCTGGCGCAGACAAGATGCTGCAGCACACTTGGATGCGTTGTCTGATATGAAGCTGTCTTAGCTCCTGGCCAGGGAATCGTGAGCATTCACTCATTTGTTTGAATATATTAAAACAGTTCTGACCTTCTAAATTGCATCTGTGAACTACACATGCTAGCTGGCATTTCCCTGTTTCAGCAGTGAAAAGAATAGTTGGCTTCACTTTTATCATCAAATTCCAAATATTCTCAGGTTTTTGTTTTTTTTTTTTTTAAGCACATGCAATAATTCTTCAGCCAGCTCTTCCCAGAGCTTGAGAGGGTCAAATAGAATCATCCTGCAGTTTTTAAGGGCACTAGAGAAGCGGTTCACTGCTGCCAAGTGGGAGGCGAATTGCTGAAGGCCCTTGCTAGGAACGTGTTCAAGTTCAGCAAGAAATTAGGGGAGAAAAGAATTTTGAAAGGGTTTTGTTCTTATTTTGTTGTTTCCTTGGGCTTGGTTCTCTATATTTCCTTTGATTGTTTCATTGTTTTTGTTGTTGACTTCTATTTTCCATTCTATTTACCCTGCTAAATGAGAAAGGAGGAAAAACAGAGTTTATTATCTCAAATTCACGCACCAGGTGAACAAGTGGTGCTGCACTGAAGTACAGTAAGCAAAGTTGCTATTGTTAAAGCAACAGATTTTCTCTATGAGGTGTCAGTGAAAGAACTCTGTGCAATGCAGAAAACAAGAGTGAAAGCTGCAGCAGAACACGATATCCTTACTCAGTAACAGCCTTAGCAGCCTTGCTGAACTCTTATCCATTCCTCTGCTCACTGCAAAAGCAAGATTCCACTAAGAGACTTTTTGTCCAAATCCATAGGTTACAAGAAGCACAGAAGTTGATAAAAAGACACACAATTTTTCTTGAGAACTTTTACTATGCTGTTTTCCAAAGAGAATTACTAGATCTTGTAAAGAGCTAGAAAAGATACCTTTAGAGTCTTAAGGGCTGTCAAGATTATACCACAGCTACATTGAGGTTTGATGTGCAACTCCTCTTGAACGAGCAACAGTTACTGCCCTGAGACTGATCTTCTCTTTTTTCCTTCTAGCTGAGTTCTCCTTACTCAACTGACTGAAGTTCACGTATTGGAAAAATAAGCAATTGCGTGGACACTGCATGGGTTAGAAGCATAATAAATATCTTCTCTGCCATCACTGTAAATCACTATTTCCTGGAAACCATTACGATGCTATTGTTGGGCCTCCTCCTGTTCTCAGTTCCACGTAAAACAGACATTTTCTTCCTAGAGGTTACACATAGCCATCTGAGACTGCTACCTACACTGATAAAAGGCCAAATCCATTCCCACTCACAGGTCATTTGATTCCAGTGGGGTCCAGTAGGTATGAGTTTCTACCCGCAGAATTACTGACCTTAGAATTGTAAATAAAACAGTATAAGAACAGATATTTTCTTTTTTTCTTCTGATAACAGCATATAAGAACAACTAAAGACTTTAAGGTACTTGAGGAAATCAGTTTATATTACATTTGCTTAATCATCTCTTTATATCCCCTCAGTTTAGCTTCTATTTTAAAGTGCAGATTCTCACCCTCCAAATTCAGTTACATCCAGGGCTTATTTTTTCCTCAAGATGAGCCACCTCGAGCACAGACTATCACCACAGCAGAAGTTCAGAGTCTCATCTGATGAGCAGGATAACTGGTTTTACACTGCCTTTGAAAAACATTTCCTTATGCTTATTTTGGCATAGATTAATGTTGGTTCATCTGTTTGTTTTTCCCAGTATTATCCCTCAACATTCTGTTAATAGAATAATAAAATGGCCGTTCCAGGGCCGTTGTCTTACACGCATGCAGCCTCATTCAGATTTAACTCGTGTGCAAAATAAATGGCTAATGCATACAAAGTTCTTAGAACACACAAACATCAGTAAAATGAGCTGCAGATGCTCAAGTGCAAATAATACAGACACTTGGGATGAAAACAATCCCCTTGCATCAGTCAGACCTAGATTTCAGTTTCATTTCTCTTCCTTACCTCCCCCCCCCCACCCACCCATACCATTGACGTTAGCAAGCAACATCTCTGTTAGAATGGAAAGAAATTCTTTTTGGGCATTGCTGAAATATCAGACTAGATATTGAATGACCAAACATCTCTGTAGTTGATCAGTTTCAGTGATTCCAAGCTAGCTGCAGAATCATATTTCTTCTCGCAAAGCATCTCATAGAAATTATTTTCCCATAAACAATGACTACTGTGTATATATGTCTAAAAACAACTGTAATTTATATGACCAGTACGAATAAAAAGAGTTTTTGGCTTAAAGTTGGACACCTGGATTTCTGTGGAATTCTCCAAGATAAAAATATAGACCTGCATCACCTATCGTGTATGTTGGAAAAGACCTTCAAGACCCCTTCTTTCAGTTGAGCGCAAGTCCAAACCACAGCACCACAAGACTTCAGCAGCAACAAAGTAAACTTCACCTCAGGCTGTACCCCTTTTTATTTTGACCTGTTTTCCCCATCTTAATGAGATGGATTCTGCCCGTCTACAGGTCATGAAAAACGCAGTTTAAAATAATAATAATAATAAAAAAAAAAAAAAAGGTGCAGACAGCATGTGAATCACTCTTCCTTCCTTTCCTTTCTGCTCCTTGCACAACTCAATTATTTCTCAAGTGGCTGAATAGGATTGCGGATCAGGTTTTGGTATTAGTTTTCTTTGTTGGTCTAATTGGAAGGCACACTATTTCAGCTCTGTTTGCTACTTTGAAGAGACAAAAGTTATTTTCTTTAAAATAAACATATACTGATCAAGTCCTCTTACACACACACACATACACACACGCACGCAAATATTGTCCTTTTATAAGACAAGGGCTCAGAGGAACGAACTAAAACGTGAAGAAAGAGAAAAGCACTTCAAAAGGGACACTCTCAGACACTGCTAAAAGAGATGACATCTACTCTCCAGTACTTTCACTAACAGCGCTTGTGCTTTCACTGGGTTTTGCAGCTGCAAAGTCAAAAATAACAGGAAAAGAACCCAACAGAACTGTGCTGTGCTTTGCATCCTGCCCTACCATAAGGTTTCAAATTAAATCTAAAAATTTATTACCATTTTCCTATTGGCTTTATTTATAAAGCACTCACATTCATACCAGTACTCAGGGCTTCCAAACAAAAAGCTTACCAGCAGACCTTTTATTTACACATATCTTCCATCAGCTAAGAAGTTCCCTCTGTTTGAGGAGAGTGGGAGATACAAACTAAACCAAAAAGGACCCAAACATCCCCCATTAAGTTTATATACTTTACTGACCGTTCTCACAGCAGATGGGAATAAACAAGACCCTGCATGTCCTAACAAGTCAGTTCCAATCAAGATGAAATCTCTACATCACAAGATATTTACTGGGATGAAAACTCAGCTGGCCAAACACCAGGAACAATTAAAACACACAACTGCCTGCCGCTTGTAAGCAGCCCTGCAAGTTTCTGCGTTGGATAGAAACCTGGGTTATAGTTCATAAATTAACAGCCAGAGATATGGTTGTACAATCTTTCAGGGTATTCCTTGTACACAGACGGCACAGGAAGCAGAGGCAAAGGCCACCCTTGGGGATTTCCATGCCCGCCTTGCTCTCCATGGCCCAGCCAGGACTCCTACCCCATCCGTGGTGCTGCAGCTTGCGCAGCAGGGGCTCAAGACCCTGAGGTTTCTTCAGTGTAAACACTTGCCACCATGACTCCCATCTACAAGAAGGTCAGAAAAAGGATCCAGAAAACTACAGGCATGTCGGCCTGACCTCAGAACTGGGAAAAGCCATAGATGAGATCATATTAAGTGGAATCACTTCACCTGTGTGGGATAACCAGAGGATCAGAGCAGGCTCCAGCATGGGTTCACAGCAGGCAGATCCTGCCTGAGCAGCCTCATCTCCTCTTACGATTGAGTGACACAGCTGGTGGTGGAGGGAAAGGCAGTTGACATAATGTCAAAGGCTTTATGAAGCCCAGGCAGACTGTCTCCCACAGCATTCTCCCGGAGGAGCTACCAACCTGAGGCCTGGACAGGAGTACTCTTCACTGGATCAAATCTGACTGGAGGACTGGGCCCACAGAGCAGTGGTGGATGGGGTTAAGTCTAGCTGGTGACCAGCAGTCACAAGTTGTGTTCCTTGGCTGGTTGGTATTAGGGCATCCTCATAAGTTCGCAGGTAGCACTAAGTTGGGAGGAAGTCTTGATCTGCTTGAGGAAGGCCCTACAGAGGGATCTGGATAGGTTGGATTGCTGGGCTGAGCCAATGAGTTTTAACAAGCCTAAATGCTAAAATCCTGCATTTCAGTTGCAAACACTAAGCAGTGCTAAAGGCTTGGGGCAGAGCAGCTAGAAGGCTCCATGGAGGAATAGGATCTTGGGGTGTTAATGGACAACCAGGTGAACACAAGCCAGCAGTGTGTTCAACTTGCCAAAAAGGTCGATGGCATCCTGGTTTGTATCAAAGATGGCACAACCAGGAGGGGCAGGGAGGTGAGCATCCCTCTGTGCTTAGCTCAGGTTCAGTTCTGGAGGTGCTCAAGAGCTGTGCAGTCGTGGAACTGAGGAACACGTTTAATAGGCACAATGGTGATGAGCTGACGGTTGTCCTAGCTGAACACAGTGCTCCTTCCAACCCTGGCTCCGTGGGAAGGTTTCACCGCCCGCAGTTCGGACACGGATTGTGGCGGGGCGGGGACAGCGCCAAAGCTTTCGGTTTCGCCTTCCCGCCAACCGGCCCTTTCTGGACACCGGGAGCATTTCCCCGAAGTCACGTGGTGCAGCGCTTCCTAACGAGAGCCGCCACCGCGCCTGCGCACTGTGCCGCTCCGCGTCCCGCAGGGCCGGGCAAGAACGGGGCGGCAGCGCTGAGGGAACCGAGCAAGCAGGGCCAGCCCGGGACTGGGAGAACAGCGGCCCTGCCTCGCTTGTATCTCGCATATCCTATTTCGTTACACGCTGCTTCTCGAACACACCGCGTTCTGGCACGCACTGTCACGCTGCTCCCCTCTCTCCTTAGCGCCACAGGCCGCGCAGCCTTTCCCTAACGCCTGAGACCCGCGCGCACGGCTCCAGAAACAGCACAGCTCGCGACCCTCCGCTCCTCCACGCGGAAGGAAAAGGGCGGGGGGCGGGGCGCCTGGCAGCGCCGCGTGCGCCCATTGGTCCAGGCGGCGTGGGCCGGGCTCCCATTGGCCCCGCGGCGAGTCCCCATGGCCGCGTCCGTGCGGGTATTTCTGGGCGCAGGCAAGGGGCGCCAGCGGAGTGCCGGGGCAGCCTGTTCCAGCGGGTGAGTGCGGGCGGCGCGGGGATGGGCGGTGACAAAGCACGGGCAGGCTCGTATCTTACTGCCCCTCAGGGTCAACTGTGACCCTTGGACTGGCCGTGTGCTCCTGCTGCCGCGCTGTGATGGCGGTCACTGCGCAGCACGGCTTTTATCTGTTCCTCAACTTTAGGCAACCTGCGTCTGCTGCACAGAGCGCTGCCTTAGCCTGAAGTCTAGGAGTTAGAATCAAAGTACGACCTAGGGAGGGTGGGACAAGGCTCCGGGGGGACCTGAGAGCAGCCCGGCAGGCTGTGAGAAGGAACGGGACATGCTTTTCAGCAGGGTCTGTTGTGACAGGACGAGGAGAAAGGCGTCAAACTGAAAGAGGGGAGACTTAGACTGAGTATAAAGAAGCAAAGCTGGTTCTGACAGGTTCTCAACAATACCAAGCAAAGCATTCACAGGTAAGCCAAGTCATATAGGAAGAAGAGTCAGACTCACCCACCTGGTGAAGGGTTCTCTGGCAATGAAGCAACCCAGGTCCAAGAGATGCTCTCCCTTCAGTGGCTGGCCTTTATATGAGCTATGGGTGGCTCCCCTCTCAGCCCACCCCTTCTGGTCAGCTGTGAATCACAGGTGAAAACAATCTGTGCTCCGTGGGCAGCCACTGCCCTTCTCCAGGTGCTCCATCACCACTTCAAGCCCTGACCTAACATCTCCCCTACAGCTCGTAGCAGTGCTGATACTTTCAGTGCTGTGAAAATTCTGTGTTCAGAGGGGAAAAGAAATGCAACTTTTCATAGGGAAGAGTGGTTTAAATTTTGACTGACTTCTGTCGATGCAACCAGCATAAAGACGGTCTTAATTTTCAGTTTTTATAATTAAAAACAGCACAGAAGAAGTTGAATGATGTTTCAGTTGTTAGTTTGTTCCATTTCATCTAAAAACAGAACATGCTTCTGTTTGCTAGAACGCTTTTCCTTCAATTTTACCCTGACCTCCAATTTTGCCATTTTAATGAAAACTTAGAATGGGTGATTTTTCACCAGTTCAGCTCTAATGTTAACTTAAGCATTTACATTTACACTGCTTTTATTCCCCACTTCCCAGGATGACTCAGTGGTACCAGCTACAGCAACTTGACTCCAAGTTTTTGGAGCAAGTTCACCAGCTGTACGATGACAGCTTTCCTATGGAAATCAGGCAGTATCTGGCACAGTGGCTGGAAAACCAGGATTGGTAAGCATAAAACTGACATCTGGGTTGTATGATAATAAACATTCTGGTACATGGATTAACATGGCAGAGAAGTAGCGGGGAAGCAAGCTGCTGGAGACATAAGGACACCTTTGCTGGTAGAACATTTTTTAGCTGTGTAGCTAATCGTCTTGAGAAGGGGTGGGAATCTAGTCTGCATAGGGGAACCTACATCTAGAGTAACAAGTACACCATTTACTGTTACCTCAGTTAATGTCAAACAAAAGCAGCTATTTTAAGGCAGTCAGTTTCCCTGGCACCCCAGGCTCTCACCATTCATCAACTTGGAACTGTGTTCCAAAATTTCTATGGAAATGTACGTTGTATGTTTAGCACTGTACAGTGTGCATATGCATCACAGTCACTTCCAGCTTCCTAATGTGCATGGAATGGGTCAATGATGTCACACAAAATGTGGCAAGAGTGGCACAGAGGAATAGCAACATTTTTCTATCAAGGAATGCGAAGCAGAAGGTGAGCGAATGAGCCTAACATGTTTGAAAGTAGCTCTTCCTGCTCATATGTATTACAGCTGGAGCTGGGGATTAATAAAACGTTCTCTGTAGTGCATTTTGGATGCTGCTTGAAAGTATTTAACACAAGCATACTTTGAATTTATTCTAGGGAACATGCAGCCACCAATGTATCTTTTGCTACGGTGCTATTCCATGACCTGCTGTCACAGCTTGATGATCAATTTAGCCGATTTTTGATAGAAAACAACTTTTTGCTGCAACACAATATAAGGAAAAGCAAACGTAATCTT